TGGACCAACGACCAGGTTCAGAATCAGAGAGCTTTTCTGTTCCAGGATTGACAGGGAGATCTCAGTTCAGCAGGGCTTTTGTGAAGAAGCCAGCAACACTTTCATATGGAGACTGTCTGTTATGGCAGGGCTGTCCATGCAATAAGCTTTTCCTTCCCTACAATCCGCACTAGGAGCAGATCCACACCAGGCATTTAAAAGACATTCAAAGCACATGACTTCCCCCTAAAGAATCCTGGGAATTGTAGTTTCCCCTCCCAGAGCTACGATTCCCATATTCCTTAACAAACTACAGAACCCAGGATTCTTTAGGGGGAAGCCATGTGCTATAAATGTGCATCAGCTATGCTTTAAGTGCATGGTGTAGATCTGCTCTGGGTCATGAGCTCATGGGGATTACTGAGCACTAGGACTGAGGGGACATTTGCACTGACTGCTATGTGTATAATCCATTTGTTTTTGATTCCACATTCAGCTTCTGTTGTTTGCCTGGCACTGCATGCTTCGATGACTTGCTAACCTCTGGGCTGTTTTTCACTTGCTGTTGTCCCTTTTTGAAGAGGCACAAGAAGTGAGTACAATTTAGTATTGTATTATCCCTCTGTTCCTCCACTCATCAGTGAACCCTCTATTTTTGCTGCGATTCCAGCTCCAAAGGCAGAAGCTGTGCATATGTGATCTTGTATATCTTTTAAGAGGCTGGCTTGCCAGATGATGGGAGGGAGGGGGGAGATGTTTGCCATATACAGCCCCCTTCATACCCACCATCGCTGTAAAAGTGTGCAGAGCTGGGAGGAGGTCGTCAAATGCTGTTCAGATGCAGGCCTATATTTATCTCTTTCAGTGGGAAAACCATAAATGTCATTGTGCTAAATCATCTAATACCACATTTTTCCTCCTTTTTCTTTTTTTTTTTTAATGCAAACCATGAGGGATGTACTGGAACTGGTGTGAACGAAGATAAATTGCGTGCATACAATTTACAAGCAGGTGCAGTTTTATTTATTGACAATATAACCAGCAGCCACAGGTAAGACTGCAGTGCCAGTGGGGTAGCGTGCAGTAGGAACCACAGGCCTGGAGGGGAAATGCAACCCTCAGGACTTGCCCCAGGCAACATTCCCTTCTCAGGCCACACTCTTTCTTCCCAGGCTGCATCTCTCACAAGCACTGCTCTGTGCTCTTTTTAAGTACTGTATTTTTTGCACCATAACACTCACTTTTTTCCTCCTAGAAAGTAAGGGGAAATGTCTGTGCGTGTTATGGAGCGAATGTCTACGGATGGCGGGGGGATCTGCTGCAGTCGTGAGCAGAGGATCCATGGTTCCCCTTCCTTCCCTCCTCCGTGGCTCGCCTTGAAACAGCAAAGCAGGAGAAGAGCCGCTGAGTGCGGAGGAGAAAGGGACAGAGAGCCTGCATGCTTTAAAGGAGCAAAGCGGGAGAGGAGAGGAGCCGCTTACACGAGTCCGGAGCTGTTTCTTTCAGCGAGCCGGGGAGGAGGGAGAGAACAGCTCGCTAAATAGCAGCAAGGTTTTTCGCAAGCAGGCTCTCTGTCCCTCTCTCCTCCCCACTCAGCTGGCTAAATAGCAGCAAAGTTTTTCAGCGAGCCGGGGAGGAGGGAGAGAAGCAGAGCCTTTAAAGGAGCAAAGCGGGAGAGGAGAGGAGCCTTCTCCTCTTATATCCCTCTTCTGCATTATTAACAGCATCCTTCTCCACCCACCCCACGCGTGTTCCTTGTCCCTTGAGTGCTTTTCCTTCCTCCCCACTTAAAACGTGGTTACAAAGCACAGATCCACATGGATCCTCAGCACTGGGTCACCCCAAATTCACCATCAGATCACATAGCATGTCCATGGCTACAGCTTGCACCAAAAAAATCACGCACCCACTGTTGCCTGGGGCTGCAGTGGTGCAAAAACGTGGTTACAAAGCATGGATCCACATGGGTCCTCAGGATTTTTGCATTAGGCTCCCCCAAACTCACCGTCAGATCACATGTCTGTGGCCACAGCATGAACCACAAAAATCATACATCCACTGTTTCGTTTAGAATATTTTTTTCTTGTTTTCCTCCTCTAAAAACTATGTGTGTGTTATGGTCAGGTGCATGTTATAGAGAGAAAAATATGGTACTTTTGTCTGCCCAGGAATGTTCTTGAAGTTCTAATAATGCCCCTTGCTTGCCTTCATGGAGAGATGAGTATGTTGGAACCTCTGGCTTTTGAGTGACTGGATTGTGGTCTATTGTACAAAAGTAAGAATCGCACCTGCTGCTTAACCCACTTTTACCTCCATCAAGGTTACTTATGAAGCAATGCAACCCCTGGACCAGGCATAGGCAAACTCGGCCCTCCAGATGTTTTGGGACTACAACTCCCATGATCCCTAGCTAACAGGACCAGTGGTCAAGGATTATGGGAACTGTAGTCCAAAAACATTTGGAGGGCTGAGTTTGCCTATGCTTGCCCTGGGCTGTTGATGGTTCCTCACCTAAACTAAGTGCCATGCATGGTGAGGAGTGGAAGTTTAATTCCACCCCCCCCCCCTTGGTGCTATGCCCTGGCAAGTACCTCCTCTGCAAAGGTGCTGTTTGCATTTGAATCCACCCAGGATTGTGGCAGGGAGAGAAAGAGTGAATCTCCCCATTGCCAACTCTTCAGTCTTGTCCCTACAGAGGACAGAGATGTGGTAATTAGTTGAGATGTGATGGTGAAAATGCACCAATCCAGCAATGCAGGAATGCATCTGCAATATATTATTCAGCCACTAAAGGTCACTCTGAGACACACAGAAGTGTAGACAAGACTCTCTGCTGAGCAAACAAGGAGGACAAAGCAAAACAGGCTCTCAAGCAGCATGGAATCCTATTTGTTCAACCATCAGGCTGTGCCTTTAAACCAGTGTCTTGAGCCTGTTCCCCAAGCACCAAGTTCCTACAGAGTGGGACACAACTTGGATAAGCACCAGGCTTAGGACACAGAAATCTGAAGCTTCCAAATGAGGGAAGATGTTTCATACATCCCACTTAAGTACTTATTTGGAGAGAGAGCTTTCTACAGAGAGAGGACCTGAAGAGGAGAACAATTATATGTAGCTTATATAAAAGATGCCTATTCTCTGGTGCATGCATTGGAAAGCATCAAAGATTGTGTATTTTATGCACATGTTAAAAGAGTATATTGTTTACATAAAAGGGCACACAAACTGTGTACAGTGAGAGAGAATAATATACAATGGATCAACGTGGGACACGCTAGCACCAAAAGGCTAGCGTAGGGCAGAAAGGACCTACGACTGAGTCCCAGAAGACTGAGATGGAACAGAATGAACTGCTGAGCCCATCACTATGAACAGTAGATTTTTTTTTATTTATTTAAAAAAGAAGGTTGAACTTTAAACGAAAAAAGAGACTGATCTCCAAGAAAGAGAAGTTCTGGAACACAATTCTTCCTGGAAGTCATCCCTCAGGAAGAATTTCATCATCTTCTCATATGTGTGGAGGAAGGAGGTGTGGTTGTTCAATGAAGAGAAGAAAACCACTTTGCACATGCTCAGGGGCATTCATTTTTTGTATTGTAGATTGAATCAATAATCAGAGTCACTTCTTTCAGAGCAAAGCCTAGACGTGAATAGAAAAGCATTTTTGTTGGCTCAGATTTAGCCCTGACCTGCTACCAATGCTCCCTGCCTTCTAGCTAGAGAAGCCTGCAAACCATCCTGGCACAGCACAGCATGCAATTAAAATGGATCTTCCCTCCATCACACTTCTGCCATCTCCCAATACCCCAAACAGGGATATGCCCTGCTCCCGCATTGTCATAGCTTCCAGCCAATCAGGAAGGCGTCTGTCTGGAATCTACCCTCTCCTGCAGTTGGATATTTACGGAGTATGAGGAGCTTCCCCTCGGATTGACAAACTGGCAGAGCAGTACAGGCAACTGCTAAAACCTGCCACATCCTAGTTAGTCTGTCTATGAAGGATTGGCTGATAGCTGACAAGTGAAGAATGATTGTGAATAGGGGACGGGAAGGGAATGGCGGGCGAGTGCTGAGTGACAAACTCACTTGGCGCCTTTCCAGAGTGGTCTGTCATTTCCCTCATCCTCTTCTAGTACATGTGCAGTTCTTACACATCTTTTGCAAGAATGGCCCCACAAGCACAATCCAACTCTCCTTACACACATTAAGTCTCTGTGTGGAGGCAAATGTATGAAAGATGCCCATGGGTGATTTTTTAAAAACAGTATAGGGACAGGATGCCTCTCTCTCTCTCTCTCTCTCTCTCTCTCTCTCTCTCTCTCTGTGTGTGTGTGTGTACTTTTGTACAATGGTTACAGGGATGCGGGTGGCGCTGTGGGTTAGACCACAGAGTCTAGGACTTGCCCATCAGAAGGTTGGCGGTTTGAATCCCCACGACAGGGTGAGCTCCCGTTGCTTGGACCCTGCTCCTGCCAACCTAGCAGTTCGAAAGCACGTCAAAGTGCAAGTAGATAAATAGGTACTGCTCCGGCGGGAAGGTAAATGGTGTTTCCGTGTGCTGCTCTGGTTCGCCAGAAGTGGCTTAGTCATGCTGGCCACATGACCCGGAAGCTGTATGCCGGCTCCCTCGGCCAATAAAGCGAGTTGAGCGCCGCAACCCCAGAGTCAGCCACGACTCGACCTAGATGGTGAAAAGTGGGACTATATTTTTTTTAAAAGATATTTATTAAGATTTTCAAAATATTGCAAAATAAAAAAAGAAAAAAGAAAAATACAAAATAAAAATAGTTAAAAACAATTCAATCTTTCCATTACTTATCTTTCATTTGCTTATTTCCTGGACCTCCTCATGCCTCCCTTTTTTGTATTCCAATTCAGTTTGTTAGTTCAGCAAATCCCTCCCCTCGAAAAGTGGGACTATAATACCTAGTCAGACCATTGGTTCATATAGCTACATACTGTCTGCACTGCCTGGCAGTGGCTTTCCAAGGTTTCGGACAGGAGTCTTTGCCACCCCTTCCTGGAGATGCCGGGATTTGAACCTGGGACCTTCTGTGTGCAAAGCAGATGCTCCACCACTGAGCTACAGCAGCAAGGACAATGGGCTGAGCTTCTTCCTTTCCCCTGAAGCAGCGGCTCGGCATTCTGTAAAGCCAAGGATAGGGAACTTCTTCTTTTCTTTTATTGGCTCAAGGACTGCATTCCCTTCTGGGCAACCCTCCAGGTGCCACAAGCTAATGGTGTGTGGAGACATGAGCAAAAATGGGCAGAGCAATGAATGTGAGTTTTCTTCACACAACCACACACACTCACATGCCGCTTTGGCTAGACAGAAACCCCCAAGGAGGCTGCAAAGCAGAAGCAGGGAAGGGCATGGCCTAGGGAGAAGGGGTGAGGTTTGGGGAGAGTTCCGATGGTCTGTTAAAAAGTCCTAGAGGGTCACACTGGATATGTAAAAACATGCCCCCATCCACTGTCTTCACACTTTTATACCTCCCTTACTTGGCCTAGAAAAAGCCACAAAGGCTGTACCTCGGGTTAAGAACTTCTGGAGGTCCGTTCTTAACCTGAAACTGTTCTTAACCTGAAGCACCACTTTTAGCTAATGTGGCCTTCTGCTGCTGCTGCGCCGCCGGAGCACGATTTCTGTTCTCATCCTGAAGCAAAGTTCTTAACCTGAGGTACTATTTCTGGGTTAGTGGAGTCTGTAACCTGAAGCGTCTGTAACCTGAAGCATATGTAACCTGAGGTACCACTGTATCTCTTTCCTCCCAGGGGAGTTGCTTCAGTCCCTTTGCTTAATTCTGAACTCTTTTCCAGCTTTACAATATCATAGTGCTGGCTTAAGGCAAGCAGCAAAAACGCACAATAAATAAATCCTACTCCGTCTCAGTGCACACCCAGGCACCTTGAGAGAACCTTGAAATAGGGACTGGGAAGTATTGTCCTCTAGCTCTTCCCCCAGAGCTAAACAGGGGCTGGCACAGATTCACCTAGCAGCCTGCAATGGTCTGGGTGACTGTCCCACATATGGTGTGTGTCGGCCTGGTAACCAGCAGCTAATTACTAGCAAGACTTGAGCTCTCTCATCCTCCAGCTGTGAGCTCCTCCCCTACTAAACCCGATAAACACCAGGACAGCTGGTGTGTGGGCTCCCATTGCGGCAGCTACTCAAGGAATTGTGCTGACAAAAAGAGAGAGAGAGAGAGAGAGAGAGAGAGAGAGAGAGAGAGAGAGAGAGAAATTGACTACAGACCAGAAGGAGGAAGATGTAAAAAGACCCGAAACCAAAATAAAAACAAAAGCCCAAATTCCCTAAAATAAAATCCAATATAATGTAATCCTGTCATTTCCCAAACTGAAGAACTGACACATTATATAAGCCCCTTTCCATATCCACTGCATTTACCCTTCATGGCTTTGCAACAAAGATATTTCGATATTTAACAAAGCTGCTGATTGTGGCGTTGAGAAATGAGCTTTCTGCTCAGTGGCCCAATTGTAAGCTTGGAAAATAGGTGGGGTGATGAAGGTGGATATCGGCTGGTGAAGGACCCTGTGTGAGAGACAGGGAAGACCTTCCAGGCTGGGAGAAGAAAGGGAAGCTCGCAGGTGAGAGCTGGGAGGGTCCAGACTCTTCTGTGGGTGACAAAGATTAAGATCTACTTTTGAGAGAGGACTCAGCATTTTCTTTGCTCTTTCTTTCTTTGTTTTTGTTTTTATCTAGATTAGGGGGTTTTTAAAATAAAAAAAATCTTATCGTATTATGAAAAAGCTTTAATGAAATTTTATGGAAAATAGTTGGTGTGAGATGGTGGCACTCCACACTTCAAGAATTGGAAAAGTGGTTACTGGGCTGGGAAACATGAACATTTGGGCTGAGAAGCAGGGACAGATTGAGAACCATTGGAATACAATGCAACACCCCCTCCTGCCCCTTCCATGAGATCAGTTTGAGAGGAAGCTGTCCAGACCCTGTGCAAAGATCTAAGTACAGATGGGACTGTTCAAGAATAACAATGACCTTTCCAGCAGCCACACTTTAAATCTGACAAGGCTGGGTGCTATCCCTTCAAGATGGCTGGAGTATTATTGTTATGGAAATTTGTTTCCTCCACTTCCTCCCCAAGGAGCCCAGTGTGACAAACATGCAAATGGCAAAACCATTTGAACTTAAAACATTTCCAATAAAGTCGCAGACTGGGGAAGATCTCTATTTAAAATGCACCCAAACAACAACAGAGATGGTGGCACCTGTAATATTGAATGGGAGAGGTTTCCAAAGGGTTGGATGCCACAACTCATGAGGAATAAACCTCACTTCGCTGCACACTACAATATTGATAACCATCCACTTATACACTTGTATCAAATAAAGGACAAAAAACACCAGCCATAGCTGCATTACACATTTCGGGTTTGGTCTTAAGTCATGAATAAGCACAGGCAAATCAGCCAAGTGCAACATTTATAAGAATGTATTTATTTAGCGTATGAAGACACCTCTTTTATATTAGATTTGTATCTGAACAATGTCTGGGGTTGTAAGGATGTGACCTCCATGACAATCTGTTACAATTCCCTTTCAACTGATGCTGTGTTTTTTTCCTTCCTTCTTTCCTTTTTTTTTAATATGATGTGATATGAAAATCAGATAATGGTTTATCAAAGTGTGATTTTCCTTTTTCCCCCCTTAAAAAAACCCCCACAGAACCTTTTAATAGCATGTGGCATTTTCAGGCTAGGCATTTTGAAAGATTCCGACTCAGTTCAAAGAGCAGTTTCCTTTTGGAAAAAGGACAAACCACAAATTAAAGGGGAACCAGGATGATGGAAATCATCTCTTGAAAGACAGATCCCTTGTCTGTGTTATTAATAACACAGTAGATGAATATTTAAGCAGAATGAATTTTTTAGAAACTCTAAATTATGGCTTGGACCAGTGAATGGTAAAATGGGGTGAAATGCAGCAGACATCAGCTCACACATATGGTAGTGCTGAGCCTCTGGTCCTGGAGTCTATGGAACGAGGTACACCATAAGTTACAGAACCACATATAGTTTCAAGTGAGCAACAAAGGTCTGTAGGAAACCGCATCTCCCAGACTCTACCTGGTTGTGGAGTGCTTAGTTTCTTAAAGTCCCAGCCCCCTGGTCTGCAGGCAGACACTCCTCCTGTGTTCTCCTGGTGCTACTACAGTGGTGCCTCGGTTTACAAACTTAATCCATTCAGGAAGTCCGTTCTTAAACCAAATCCATTCTTAAAGCAAGGCGCGCTTTCCCTAATGAAGCCTCCTGCCACCGGTGCCCTTTCACCATTTGGCTTCCGTTCATAGACCGAGGTAAAGGCCACAAACTGGAACACTACTTCTGGTTTTGCGGAGTTTGTAAACCAAATAGTTCGTTAATAGGGCTGTTCGCAAACCAAGGTACCACTGTAGATTGGTGAGTAACTATGGAAGGGATCTGGTCTCTCAGACTCTGGCAAAGGCATCTGTATGAGTTCTGATTCTGGCTTTATAAGCCCTGGTTCTTTGGGAGGGTGTTCTGTGGGCTTTCATCTGTTAGCCTCAGTGGTCTCCTGAACCCCAACATCAGGCTCAGAACTTGTCCCAGGTCCTTTATAGTTGCCAATAAAAATCCCGACACAAAAAGTTGTTGAGCAACTTTTTTGGGCATACACTTCCTGGTTTTGTTTGCAAATACCCCAGACATTTTACTGATTTTTAAACATTTCCGCTGGATGGTAATTTCACCCTTGGAATATTGGACATGTCCAGAACAAATGGACATACGACAAGCCTACCTTAACTGGAGACTCTTCAGCCTCCGACTCTGTGTCATGAATACTGCAGAACCAGGGGGTCCTGACAGTTCCCGAGTCATAAAATAACCACTGAATTTTTCTTTTGCAATTAATTTTAATTGCTTTTCATAGATATATAACAAGCTATAACTAGACAAACTAAAAATGAACATAAGCAAAAATATCCTTCTCCCCTCCAATCTCGCCACCAACCAAGTAAGGATTCATATCTCTATAATATTTATTCCTCTATTTAGCTTTTCTCAGGTCATTCTATCAGGGTTGTATGGAAACAATCATACCCAGCAAGACCAACTTTTCCAACTAAAGCATCAACAAGTATATGTGGTCACAACATCCAGATTTGTAGTGATGCAGCTGATAACTTTTGTAAACCCTTTTATTAGTAAATGAAGTAAAATAAATGGCCACCAAATGGGCTTTCCTTTCAGCACCATTTTATTATGATTTATTTTCTATAGACACTGTTTCCATTTCACTGCATTTCTTCTTCTTTCTGTTGCGGTGAAATTACGTAAGTTATGTAATTTACATTGTCATTACATTATTCCACCCCATTCATTTCAGTGCAAGGCAAACACAATGGAAATTGGGAGAGGCAACATAATCAATTACATATTGTTTGCAGACTGAAAGAAACAGCATCAGTGAATACTGATCATATTCACTGGGCTGTTTTCTGTTCTGGATATGAGATGAACAAGTGAACATTGGTAATTTCTGCTCCCGTTTTTGTTAGAATTTCCCAACTTCCCTCCTTATAGTGCCTAGTGCCTACTTATAGCATCCTAAGAGAAGTCAATGAAGTGTTATAAAATGTGACAATCTGAAACTCCCATTGAGAAGAGACTGTAGAAAAGGGGTCAGCAATAGGCAGCTCCTGACCAAATGTAGAATGCTGACTGCCTCCCTCCTCCCAGTTACCAGTCTAAAAGAGATATGAAGTAATGAAATCTGCATTAAGGAGAGAAGCACTAGCCCACTCTTGGGTCTCAAAAATGCACCACCAGCAAAATGTGTTGCTAACAAGAACCTTAGACTCAAACTGAACAATGGAATGCTGACAACTCTCAAAGATACCATAACTCACTGCTCTTTTAATTTTGCCTATCTCTACAATGGGCATAAACTAGTGTGAATTCCTTTTGTAAATTGGTGTAAACTAGTGTGAATTCCTTTTTTATTGTAAAGAAAACCTGGTCCTCTCAAACCAAGGCTATCTCCTTTGAAGGCTGAAACTGACATTACAACTACAGCTCTTCA